CACTCACTCACTCACTCACTCACCCATTGACCCGTCCATAACATACCCGACGCGCCGACTAAGAGGTATTTTTTTTACAAAAAAATAACTCAAAAATGGGAGGCGTGTCGTGCGATGGACTTTTAAGGACGTTCGCGCTAATTATTTCTGTGCATCCTCAATTACTGCGTACGCAAATTCAGAAATGAACCATGATAGGGCAGATGGCCATTGCTCTAGCTTTGCCTGCTTTTAACGATCTTGGACATTCGGTGACCTTTAAGTGTTTTTTTTTTCTTTTTGGATCATTTTCTCTACCGATTTTCTACGTTTTGCGAAAAAATGAAGAAAATCTATCGATTAGAAGTTTGAATTTTTTTGCAAAATGTACCATCGAATTCCGTTATTTTAGCTCTTCGTTTATCTGTGCGGCGGTTCCAAATGCCTCTTGAAGGGTTAAGTTTTGTGAAAACGTTGGCAACATTTGTAATTATTTACGCAAGACCCACTTCTACAAAATATAATTAAGATCGTTTGTCTCCGTGGACTCAACTTCGATATTTTTAACTATAAACCTCTGTAGACCATGCTAAATTACGTGCGCCAATTTTTCAAAATCACACGGTTTATCTCCGAAACGAAGTGGGTGATCCCCGTTTTTTTTGTTTTTTTTTGCATTTCTGACACAAGTAACTCATTATCTGATTGCTGTAAAAATTTTTAAAAAAATCTATCAACTTGAAAATTTTATAAAAAATACCAGAGAACAGCGATGACGCTTCCTACGGAATCTCACCCAACTCGTTCCTTTCCAGGTACCTCTCAGATTAGAGCGAGGTAGGCCTGTTTAGGGGAGTGCAGCGTCATCAGTATGTAATTTTTTGGGTAGAATCGCAGATTTCTCTCAAGCGGGGCTCACATTCCATTGCTTTTGCCCTCCACTTAACAGCCACTGAAAAGTTAAGCTTTGAACGCAGCATATGCATGCATAAAGAATTTAATAAGTTTTTCCCACCTTGTTAATATCGGCTCGTAATTTAATTTACCACTGCTTCTTTTTTAGCTTTTTTCGTAACGTTTTCTTTTTTTTTTTTTTTTTTTTTTTTTTGAAGTCTTGCGCGTTTTTTCTTTAAACTCTAACAAACTTCGAGGTCAAGAAAACTGTAAGTGACGTTAGGCCTTTTTTTTTCGCATTTGAGCGTTTGACAGTTCTTGATCCTGGGAACTACATGGAGATGGATGTATTCAATTTGTTTTTTGAAGTTTTTCAGTCAGAGGCATGTTATCCTATCTTTCAGTTCGATCATGCTGTAACAACAAATGGGTAAGGAGTTCTACGTTTGGAAGCAAGCCGTCAGTCAGTACAGAGCTAACAAAGTAACACTAGCTTCTTCGAGCTTTCATCTTTAGCATTTTATTTACATCAGTGAGCCATGGAAAACTCAAGGCAAGCAAGAGAAAAACAGTAGTGAAGACAGGCCATGAAGACAGTTACAAAATCAGAAAAGATCGACTTGGGATAGAACGATTTCTCACAACCCGCGAGCAGTGAAGATGTAAATTGGTCAAACGGAAGGAAACAATAAATTAAATTTATTGTCTACAACCAACATCACGGGTTTTGGGAAATCACTCTACTACACACATTGAAACTCAAAGAAAGTTCAAACATAAAACTTCACACTTCAAACACGACTATTTCTACGGATGAATTTCGTAGCCTGTACTAAAGAAGTTCGTGTTTCCAGCTCAGTACGTTCGAGTTTCTAACAGTATACAATGTAGCTGGAAACAGAGTCACCTACATATAATAAACTCAAAATGCAAACTGAACAACGATTCAACCAATCGGGCCTTCTTTGAGATATTTACCAGCTAGATTAACATCGACAGTTAACCTATGTCTGTAGAATTTGATGAATAAAATAGCAAAATTTCATCACTTATAAAATCAATAATATACAATTTCCTAAAATTTATATTCTTCTTATGTTTCTCTATAATACAACTGATTTCACTTCTTTCCATTTTATGGGAAGACCAGAATTGTGATTTGACTCTATTAAACACAATTTGAATGCAAATGATGACATCTGCAAGCAAGAATAAATGTTTTCAGTAGACGTTTGCGTCCTTATTCGCCTCAATTCTATTTCTTAATTATTATAACTCTAATTTACTTGTCGTTCTGTCCTTTTACTTCATTAGAAAAGTTCCAGTGATTATACGGATTTCCTATAACATCTGCACGTGTTTGTAACGATTTTAGGCCCCGTCCACATTACGCCGGAGGAATCTGAAAACGAAGGTTTCGCTCTAAAAATGCATCAAATGTTTTCCGTCCAAACTACGCTGGAGGAATTTAAAAACGCAACAATCACCGGTCATTTTGGATTTGTGTTTGAGGAAACCTCGGTCAGGGATATCACGTGATTATCGTGACGTCATCGTTTTCGAAAAGCTCCGTTTTCAAAATGTTTTCCGTCCACACGAAAACGAAAACCCGGCGTTTTCAAATTTCTCCGGTTTGAAGAGCGTTTTCGAAAAGCTCCGTTTTCGTGGCGGATTGAGTGTGGACCGTAAGCCTGCCCGTAGAAACAAAACTGCGTTTTCAAATTCTTCCGGCGTGGTGTGGACGCTGTCTTAACAAGACTACGAATAAAGTTGACATATTTCGAGCGGACACATTAAAAACAAGTTATTTTACACTGAATGTTTAAAAACAACCGAACAAGGACTTAAACCAAATAAATACTGAAAACGATATAACCCTCTATACTGGTTGATCTTAATAGCCGTACATATCGAAATTTGCAGTTAAATTATCATACAAAATACTCACATTCGCGACCACTGGTAAACAAACAGTCTGAACGCGTTTAAAACGCATTTAAAACCTGTTTTAAATTCGGTTCTAACACTCTCCTGAAATGAGCTGCATTAGAGGGTTTAGACAGACTTTTCAGCTCTTTAAAAGTCATCGTGTGTTTACATGATCTTATTTAAAGATAGAAACATAATATGTTAGTTATTTTCTATTTATATTATATAATTAACGCAAGGAATTTGACGAGGCCTAACAAGTTCATCTTGTGAGCCACTCAAAAGTTACTAATGTATGAAGACTAAAATTTATAATAACTACACATGCCAAATGTACAATGAGGACATTTTGCTATGCTTCAAAAAAGTATTTTGTATTGGCATCTGACAATTTCATTTCTCAAAAATAATTCTTCGCGATATTGTAACCTGTTAAATGTAGCTTGGGTTGACTATGACCATATTTTCATAATAACTAAAAATGCTAATAATTCCAACATTGAGGCGAACATAAAGAGGGTACAAAATCACACTTTTAGAGAACTTCCTGGATTTGCTTCAATCTTCTTAGAATTTCAGAAAAGCGTGGCCTTGCATCTGGGTTAATATTCCAACAATCTTTCATGATTTGATACACTGCCGGAGGTGTGTCCGCCGGTGCAGGCATGCGATAGCCATTCTCAACCTTTTCACGGGTTTCCTGCAGACAGACAAAAATTGTTTTGTGAGCGGAAATCGTTAGCAAAATAAAATGAGACTTTAACTGACTTCAGGCTTACTTGAAATACATCAATTGATAGTAAAAAGAACCGAATCCGAATATAATAAAGTTACTAAGGCCAATATTAACGTTCTGTTTAGAAAACAATTTCGTGCCCAGAGTTCAGTTTTCTTTTGGTCAGTAACAAGAACGCGGGCTCTAACTCTGGGAAATGAGCACTCTGCGCATGCTCGAAAATCAGTAGACCGTCTCTCAGTCAACTTAACAGAGAACAGTGCCGCCTAATTTTTCCAAATGAACGTCACGAAGATAGTGGACGAAAGACAAACTGGGGTATGTGCCTGAAGGCCCTCACTGACATAAACCACACACTAACATAAGCCCATAAGGAATTTGGAGAGGGCTTATATTATTGAAGAAAGAGCCAAGTAACGAGAAATGAAAATAAACTAATGTTGGTAAATACTAACTACATTTGGAACAAATTAAAAATATTGAAATACAAATGTCAGCACTAAAAGTGCTGGCGAATTATGTAGTTCATATAACATCTTTGATTAAATCTGAGACAAACTTTATCACATCCTATAAGATAATCCTAGCATTTGAAATGAATTCTCTCGTGCAACAGAAAGGAATACATGGCACGTGTTGTCCTCACCTTGTTATTCATGCCAGGATAGGGCGTGTTACCATAAGAGAATGTCTCCCAAAGCAACACTCCAAAGCTCCATATGTCACTCAGAGTGGTGTACTGGAAATAGTACAGAGCCTCGGGCGCAGTCCACTTTACAGGGATCTCTTTCATATTTGAAGCTTCGTAAACTGTTGAGAGAGAAAAAAAAGACGCGTGAAACTCGATTTTCACAGAGTAAAAAATTGTCAAATAGCTGTTGATGCCATCAACATCGACTGCAGATGGAATGTTTAGATGTCAGTGTGCAGTATTAACAACTTAGGACGACTGTTTCAGAGAGTCATCAACTGTAAGTTGTTGTCCAGGTATCATGCACTCTCAAAACCATTATCAACTTCTAAACCAAGTTTTCACTTGCGCGCAGCAACATGAATAAACGGCCACATACAATAATAGTTTACAGCGGAAAAAAAAATCAAATTGCTCATGATCGTCTGTAAATACACCTCAGCCATTCCCTGAGACTGTTAACGATTTGTCCTTCTTTATGCTACTAACTTACTATCTTCGTGACGTTGAGAATCTAACATCGACTGACACTCTAAGCACGTGATCGAACGTTACCTTCTTCGACTTCACGAGACATTCCAAAATCCGAGATCTTGAGTATATCTTTTGTACCAATCAAGCAGTTTCGTGCTGCTAAATCTCGATGAATGCAACTTTTGCTCTCCAGATACTCCATACCAGCTGCTGCATCGACACTAAACTTTGCTAGTTTCTTTGAGTCCAGCTTAGCGCCATTTTTACGAAGATAAGACAGGAAGTCTCCACCGACCATGAATTCCATGACTGGAAGAACAAAGCAACAGTCCATGTTAACATACGAATTCTGTTCGATGGAAAGCAAAAAAAATTGTAGTTGGTTGGCAACAGAGCGCTTTTCAGTTGAGTGTCGAAAAGTAATTGGTTTTGCATTTACCACGCTACACGATTGACTTACAAAACTCGCGCCACATTTTCATCCAATCAGAAGTAAAACCAAAACCAATCGTGACTCGTTCGCATGCGTTTTCCCGCGCTTTGCGTCAGCTACATGTAATTGCTTCGGGTTTTTGATTGGTTCACTGTACTGTCTGCGTCCTCTGTGATTGGCTAGAGTGACTACTTTGGTTTTGGTTTTACGACACTCAATTGAAAACCGCTCTATGTTAACAGGCAATGAAAGTGTGTAAGCCTACTAACATAATGCAGGACGTTGGTGACATGAATCCAGTTTGATGGCCTTAGTTCCCACAAGTCTCTTGCGGCTCAGTGGCAGAGCATCTGAGGGACTAGTAACCAGAAAGTCTTAGTTTCGACTCCTGCCTGAGGAACTCGGATTTCTTTTTCCGAGTATGCCAGTGTCACGGACAGAAAAATCATCTTCTCAAAAAAAGGTGCATATATAAATGGCCTCGCTCGCAACCAGTCTCCTAAGGCTCAGCTGTACCTTCGACTCCTGCTCGGTCAACTTGGATTTTTATCGAGAAAATTCTCAGATTTGTAGATTTCGGTGGGTTATTTGTTTCATTAGCCACTGTAGAGAGCAGCAGTAAGAAACTGTTTTTTACAACTTTTTAACATTGTGACATATACAGTGTAGATAGCTTTCATTTACAGAGTAACACGCTCGTGAGCGACTAACAAACGTGCAATGTAACCGTCATTCGTAGATGTACAACAGAATACGATGGGTATCATATTCATGAGATCAGACCCCGACGTACCTATATAAACAGGCTCTCGGTCAGCACACACTCCTATCAGTCTGACTATATTAGGATGATCATACTGCTTCAAGATCTCTGCTTCCGACAGAAACTTCTGCTTCACCGTTTGCGTAACATTTCCCTTGCAGGATTTAACAGCGACAGGAGTGTTAGAAGGTTTTAGAATTCCTTTCATCACATCTCCAAAATGACCTGAACCAAGTTTCTTCTCCTGTAGGACAATGTCGTCTCTGCACATTTCCCATTTGTCTTTTCCAGGTTTTTCCACGGCGTTTACCAAGACGGTCTTTGACTTCTTTGTCACATGAACTTTGTTTTTTACGTGGTAATCGAGCAGTTCTCGTATACTGGGAAAGCCCTGGTCTTCAAACCGTACTAAGCCCTGGTAACGAATGAGAGTTTGAATAAATTAATGGGGCACCTGTACCACAGATTCTTCTCTTATCATTGGTCGCGAGCGAATCACGAGGCGTGCCTCGACACCACGAAAACAGCGCCGGACTTAAGACGGCTCCCTATAGTTTTACGATCGCACGCGCGCTGAGGATGAAAGCTCAAGTAATCTGCGTGCGCTTGAAGGAAAACGTCAGTGTTTTTGGATATTTTCTGACGTCAAAATGAGCACAAAAAGCAAAACTGACAGTGAATTTTCTCGCGTTTCCTTCGGTGAAATTCCGTAAAATTTGG